CCTATAAAGACATAAAACAAATTACCTCCCTTTTACAAAATTTATAGCGAGGAGACTCTGTTTAGTAAACTAGATGATAACACCTTTCTTGAGAATTTATAACTTTGTATAGATAACAAACTAAGTCTAGGAAAAACATCTGTTGAATGTCTGACTTAGCAATGTATATTATTTATGCTTGTGAGTAGATAACAACCTTGTCTAAGAAAAACATCTGTTGAATTCCTGACATAACAATGTATAATGTTTATGCCTATGTATAATGAATATTAATGAAGTAGCTGAGAATAAAGGTAGGACACTGTGTCTGCTTTAGGGCGCGACAAGCCTCCTGAGTCACAGAGACTCGGCTTGGACACCACAGCGTGCTGTTCACTCTCATCATATAATAAATTCTAATTGGAAATTACTCGAATCTGAGATTTTATTTCTCACACTCAGCATCCTTTGTAAGCAACTAGACCAAGTTGTCTTTTTCAGCTTATTAGTTCAAGTTGCCTCTGGTGTCTGGGATGCAGTTAATTTTTCAGCTTTTGTCCATCTATTTCTGGTAGCTGCTTTTTGCTCTTAATAATAAACTTAACAAACATGTTAATAACAATTTAGACAGTCTTAGGTGGATACTGTGGTAGAAACAGATGTGAAGGTCAGGCAAACACGCAGTTTCTCTGCAGTTTTGTCCAGGAATGGCTTTTGGTAGGTAAGAGCTTGAAGTAAAAAGCAAGAAGTCATTTTAATGTCTTTTAATGTCTTTTACCTCAAGGTTGAATGCTGTGCAATCTTCTCTTTCGCAGATCTGTTCTATTATTGGGTTGATGAATCTCCTCTGGAGTATTTTGCAATCCTATTTCTTATATGATATTGGTTAGAGTCATCATAATCAGTTTTAACTCAGTCTCTTAAGCAGTTATGACTCACAAGCAGCTATTTTTGCTGACACTAGGCACACCTTTTTGGGATAATAGTATCTGAATGCACTAATTAACAAGGTATGGAGATGCTAAGAACTTTTTAAACATGTTAATTGAACTACATTGTCACAACAACTGTATCTATTTAGGTGTACTTGAGGACTTAACAACTTTAACAATTTAACAACCTTAACAATTTAAACAAAGTCACTGGGGAACTAGTGAAAAAGTAGGAAAAAACAAAGCTTCAGTGTTCTTACCAAAGGTCTCGAGACAACAAGATACAAAGTTAACTTAGTTCTGTATGTCTCTGGAGGCACACAGCATAACGCTGTAGCATTGAGCTGTGCAAGAGGCAGCTCAGCTAGGCTGCAGCACAGCCTCGCTCTGTCTCAACACAAGGGGCGGGCGCCGTTTTTCCCGGCACCGGCTTGGCTGCATTTTTTTCACTGCAGACGGCAGGATTGCCCCTGCAGGGGGGCCTCGGCATGGCGCTGGGTGGGGGCTGCCTGTCTCCCTCTCTGTCCGCAGCAGAATTTGTGCAGGGCTCTGCCGTTTGCTCGCAGCTCACGCTGCTTCGGCTTGGCGTAGTTTCAGCACCCCACCGCGAAAGGGGAGGTAGTTTTTGCCTTGGTTTCGGGCGGCCCCGGTCCCATCCCAGCTCAGTGCGCCCCGCGCAGCTGCCGCCCGGCCCCAGGCTGCCCTAAAGCCACGCCCGGGCTCGCACCGCGTCCTGGTCCGGCACGGCGCGCCGTCTGTATTTCGGAGCGGCCCCAGCCCCCCCGGCTCCTACGCAGCCGGAGCTGATGTTTTTTGCCGCAGCCCCAGGGCTGTCGCGCCGGGCCAGGGCTGAGCAGGGAGTGTTCGCCCATGGGTCCCGTGCCTCCGCGCCGCGGCTGCTGCCACCGGCATGCATGTGCCTCGTGCCGCCGCGTGCCGTTTCGGTATCGCTGCTGCCGCGAGTCTGCGCCGTGAGACTTTGCAAGCCCCGTGGCCATGCTTCCCGCGCCGCTGCCGCCGACAAGTGCTGCGGACAGTGCCTCTACAGAGCACTGCGAGTCCAACGGACTCTTTTAACAGCAGTGCGAAGGCGGCGCTCTGTCCCTGCGCTGCGCGACTGCCTGTCTTTTTTCGGAGGAGGCAAAACTGACCCTCCCCCGGTGTCCTCTGTTGGTTCTCTGCTTACCGGATTTACATGCTCTAAGCACAGTTCCTCAAGCTGGGACACTCAGCAAGCTGGCCGTGGGCAAGATGGCGACTCCCAAATCAAGGCATGCCTGCCATGTGGCTGCAACTCAGCAGTGCCTCGTGGACCCAAGGTCTGTCTCTCCCCAACAACCACGCGGTCTGCGCCACGTGCTCGCTTCTGCCTGCATAAAACCCAGCCTAAGTCTATTGTTAGGGTCTCTTTTCGGTTTGCACGCGATTCTCGGTCTGCACGAGGTTCTCTCCCACCCCTGTGTCTGCTCCCGGAGCCTGGGGGAGTCCTTTGCCTATTAGGGCTCATGGGGGGAACAGGAAGTTTAAAGTTTTTCTCCATGGACAAGTTTAAGTTTCTTTGTGAGATTTTTAAGGTGTCCACATCTTCTATCTCTGCTTTCTCTCGAGCTGTCTCTCCAAATTTTTTCCAAGCAGTCACACTAAGGATTCTGCTTAGCAGAAGTCCTAATATAGTTTTTTCTATCATTTCCCTTGAATTTTAACTTCCCATTATGAGAAATAAAATAATCTGGTTTTATTATAAGTAAATTTATGTAAGTGGGAAACAGGGGGTGTTGGGATTTTCTTCTTACCTCCCATTTAATTTTAGAAATATTCAGGCGCCTCGCGAAGATTGTAAGGTGAAAGGCCCCGTCAGGGCTGTACACCGAGGGAATATTGCGGCCGAGGTAGGATACAATATATAGATGGAAAATTTACACCGGCCACATGTTTTTGTGTGCAAAAAGAACCCCCCTGTACAAGTACAGGGGGGTACGTCATCAATCAATCAAGCTGTACAGGGGGGCCCCCTGTACATGTACAGGGGGGTACGTCATCAATCAATCAAGCTGTACAGGGGGATACGTCATGATCCAATCAGGTGGGACCAATCAAGTGGGATCAATCAAGCGGAACCAATCAGGCGGGAGGGTGACACCCACCCGCCGATTTGAAAATTACCCTTTAAGGTAAAATACTTGTTACCTGCTGAATATTCAAGATATTGGGTAGCTGAAGAGTACAAAAAGGAGCGGGCTCTTGGAGGGGGTGTGCTTTTCCAGGCGGGTGGCTTGGGACTGCACCCAGCGCTGCAAATAAAGGATTCTTTTCTGTAAGTTTCCTTGTCCTGCAAGTGTTTTTTTGCCGTTTTTATAAATTGATAAAAGAGATTTTTCTCACACCATGCTGGCTTCTTACCTCAAGTTCTCTGTAGCTTTACCTTTTCTTTCTTTTATACCTTACTCTGCCAGGTCTCTCCTGTGCACAATACTCAAATTTTAGGAGCTCCCATGCGATTCTCTGCACGACGTCCCAGTCGACTTTCGTATTAGTATTCAACGGCCTTTCTTTAATGATGTCTTCTGCCTGCTTTTAGCTCGGTATGCGACATCTGGCTTTTTTTCAGAGAAGTGTTCCTGAGCTTTAAAACAAGCTCATTTGAACGCTACTGGAATTTCTCCTTGTTACAAGGCAGTCTCTAATCATCCCTGATACAGGGAGTGGCCCCACGTTGGGTGCCAGATATTGCTTTATTAATATAATAAGTAAATAAACCATAAGGACCCAGCTAGCTTGGGGGTTCAGCAACCAAATCCTCTTTATTCAAATGAGACAACAGTTTATAAATAGGTTCGAATAGTGACACATGACTCCCTTGACCAATCACCAGGGGTATGTCACTACCCATGTGCATGGGAGTACTTCTGGACTTCATTTCCCAGGATGCCTCATCCAGCATTCTTCCTAAAACCCGACTCCTACACATGGGGATTAAAAAGTGCTTCTGGACCTGCAGCAGGTGAAGGACAGGGCTGATTATGTCAGGAAGAACAGCATGACCTGGAAACAGGTTCTTGGATAAGAATAGCGAGTGATGATAGAAAATACAAGAGCAGCACAGGAAACACTGATGTGGCCCCAAAATCTGAAAGATGCTAAGCTACATGCAGTTGGGCTTAGGAGTGCCAGCAAGATTTCAGATTCCATGCAGTCCCAAGGACTGCAGGGTAAGACCAAGCATAGAAACACCTGCTTCTCCACAGGTGGCAACAACACACACCAGAGCCCAGCATCATAATGGCATTCTGTCTTCCCCAGTCATGTCCACTTAGTCTGTGAGATGCAGGTGCAGTGGCTGCATCGCTGCCTGAGTGATGGGACCTGTTACCCCTTGGGGTCTGCAGTCCATACCATCATCTCCAGAATACCCCTCTGAGTAATTCTGTATTTAAACCTAATGAAAAAAGACCTAGTGGCTGGCTGCTGTTAGGAAAAAATAATAGGCTTTTCCCCCCAGGGCACCCTGCCTGGAGCTCTCCCCACACCGAACCTGTTTGCGTCTAGGGCTTGCATGCAGGGAGGATGGCTTGGGGTGATGTGTAGATACAAAGACCACTGCTCTGAGGCTGTAACCGCAGCAGAGGATACTCCTGCATGACAGTGGAGGGTGAGTGGTGGCCCCTAGGATGAGCACAGGTCATGTCCATCCCAACCCAACCTGTCACCATTAAAGTCGGAACAGCCAAAGCGACACAGATATCAGTCGTAGTCCAGGTGTAAGGTGATCAGGAAGCTGTTTATTGCTCTCAAGTGTTTCTTTTATACTCTTTGCATACTATCGTGCTACAACATAATTGGTTAAAAGTCTCTAGCATAAGACACTGTACATACTTTCATTGGAGACACAGAAGACACTGTGCTTACTGTCATTGGTGACCTGAGGACACTGTGCACACTGTCATTGGTGATATTATACACATATTGATTGGTGACCTTTGGTCTCGGCTGCATTACGTTTGTTCCGTCCGGCATTGTAGTAAATATTTCCTTAGAGTTTGTTTACATTCCTCTGCAGTCTTTTCAGGGATATACTTTGATCTGGTCAACATCGATTGCTTCATCGATAAGTGCTAGGCTGCTGACAGACCCGCTGTCAACCCCGACACCAACCCATTACATGGCAAGCCACCCCAAGCAATGCAAGCCATCCCAACCTCACAGCCCTCTCTGCCAGCGTGTGGAGATGCCTTCTGATGGCAGGGGCCCCATCAGTGTAGTAGCCCATCCCTCATAGGCAGTAGTGACGTCCAGGGCAGGGGCAGTAGTAGCCCTTGGAAGGATCCCCTCCCCATCATGATGTACAGAGGTGTCATAGGTTTACTTGTTACAAAAAAACCGAGCTGGGAATTTTTTTCTTTCCCCTGCATCACTGTAAAAAAAAGATGTTGAACGAGGGAGGGGGAGGGTGGTTTTTTGCCTAGGGTGATTGACACACACAAAAGAACTGGCTAACAGACCCACATTCCAGACTGATTGACCATCAGAAGACTGACGGGGCGGGGGGGGTGGTGTTAAGTCTTTTCCCTCTCCTCGGAAAACGGCAGGCACGCTCCACTTTTACCCTGACTTAGGGAGAGTGTGTGTGTGTGGAGGGATTCCGGGGTTTGTTTTGTTTTTCATCGGGGTCATCTGGCTGCTTCTGGTCCCAGTTTGCCTCTGTTCTCCTGCGCCCTGTCCTGCCCCCATCCGGGACTTGTTCAGATTTCATCAGAGAGGCTTGACCCTTCTGTGAAGGAACCTTTGGGGGAGTCCTGGCCAGAGCCAGCTGCTGACAGCATGAGTCTGTGGGAAGAGCCTTTTTTTCCCCTTCCTCTTCTCGGTGAGGGGGTGATCTCCATTTTTTGGCTTCTCCTGCGCATCGGGGCCCCCACGTGGTGACTGCCAGAGCCCAACAGCGCCCCCTGCTGACTACCACAGAGCAACTGCAGGCTCTGCTCTTCCAGTGATCCAACAGCGCCTCCTCCCTATCACGGTTAGAATTGCACCAAAAGGTGGAAAGTACTGAACTGTTTTTTTCTTGGAGGGGACTTTGGGTACAGGATTATTGTTTAGTTGGTTTTGTGTTCTTTTGTTGTTCTACCAATACACATATATCCTTTAATAAAGGGCTGTTGTTTTTTTCTTTCTCCATACTTCCTCAGTTGGAGCCTCTTAATTTCTGATTTACAATTGCTTAGAGGGAGGAGCTTGGTCTTCCTCATAACTCATCCTCCTTAGCAAAACACTTCAGTCTCATTAAATTGAGACAACAGGCTACAGGGACAGTGGTGAGAACAGCTTGCGCAGCATGTCAGTGGCCACTTCCCTCTGCAAGCAGAGGGATGACAAGTGTAAGGATGAGGAGGAGCAACCAGTCTGTCACCTGGACAGCCACTGGCACAGCAGAGGCACAACTACAGCTGAAGCACAGGGGCAGAGTGAGGGTAGTTACCAGATTCATTGAGGCAGGTGGGTTTTAGATGGCATGGCACAGGTATGCTGCGCAAGAAGGTCTCCATTCTCATCTCCTGCAAGGAGTGATAGCAAACATTTGCAGGATTGCCACCCTTTTGCTGCAGAGCCTGAGGTGCTGGTGACTCTGGTTTGAGGGGGCAGAAGGGACTGGACCTACCTTGGGCAGGAGGGGGAGGTCGGAGGAGTGCTTATTCCAGGCTGTGCTGTTGTAGGAACCCATTCACCATGTGATGTATTTGTCCTCATTGACAAAAACTGTGTTTTATTTCTTTGCAACGCCAAAATGACAGGTGGGGGTGCCCTGTAGTGTCAGGGACGTGGGGAGATGGTCAGAGCTGTTCCCCTCTCCCCAAAATGCAATGCCATGGGGCCAGAGGGCATGTCAGACATGGTGCTCTCAGACTCCTTGTTGAGGATCTGTGATGGAGGTGATACTCACTGCTTCCAGACCATTGGTCACTTGTCTCTGCCGATGTGACCTTGGTCACTGGAGGCTATGGTGTACCAGGAGAGTGTCCCCCAGGCAGCACCTACCACCAGGGGGTATTTAGGGGCCACTGGGTGAGTGAGACCTGGGGACTTGCAGACATCCCTGGGAACAGGACAGTTTCAGTGTGGGGATAGGGATGGGTGACTGCAGCAAAGTCACAAGTGCAGATGCTGAGGGAGGGTCTCTAGCACGGGGGGGGAACACAATACAAAAGGGGGTATGAACAGAGATGCTTCCACTACCCTCAGCCCCCAAATCTCATAGCCTATGGTTACGTGGCCTGTGTGATACTGGGAGGGGGATGGTTAGGACCTCAGCGATACCTTCAGATCTGGCCAGCCAACAGGGTTGATGACATTCCTGTAGTACTCCTGCATTTCCACCTTAATCTGCTGTTCAGGCTGACTTTGTGTATTAAGGGAGGAGGTTTGAGGATATACTGAAGCTTGAAACCATGACACCGTTGAAGGCTTAACAAAAACCAAGATTTATTACCAAGAGGGTGGCTGACAAAACAAACAAACCCAAAAGGGAGGAAGGAGGAGAGAAATAAGCCCCAGTTACCCAGCTGTTGCCCATAAAGTTATCTTACTGACCTAGTGTGCCTATAATTACCCATAGCAGAAGCGGCATCCTTGGAGAGTCAGTAAGTTCACAAAACTGGCAGGCGTCCCCACCGAAAGGCAACGTTGTCCTTGATGTGAAGTTAGCTCCCCTCCAAGAAAGCACTATCTACTTTTATACAATTAACTGAGTGACCACAACCTCCCAGGTGTGGCCAGCACCACCCAGCCAGAGGCCCTCAGTCCCACCTCCCGGTTATGTAAGTGCATCTCTTCTGCGCATGCGTGAGAACTTCGGAAATGCCCTCACGCACACACAGTATGTTTTGGGGGTCTTTCTTAATTGAGTCTGGGGGCGAGCCTTGATCACATCATCATCACTTTCTCCTCCAAATGCCCTTGATGAGCCATTAACCAATCACAGAAGACCAATTAAAACAGTTTATACAGAAGTTCTCCCTCCAAGGACAACTTTCCCATTTATCAGTGCTTGTTTTCCCATAACTAGGCAGGGAAAGAGCAAAGCTTTCACAGGTGGCAGGGCCAAACACAGACCAAAAGTATCAGCATAAATTCACCCTGGTACACTTTGGCTCACCAAATTTTGCACCAGGGTCATTGTTAATCCCTAGAGACAGCAGAGTGGGGAGAGATGCCTGGGGCCATGCCGCAGTGCCTGTCTTCATGGGAGTTGGGGCACATGATGAAACAGGTTACTGAGCAGGGTTTAACGCCAGAGACCTGCCACAAGTGCCAAGACCCTCTTCTCTGAAGTGGGTGGTCATGGGGGTTGTACTGGCACCGTGATTCCCCCCACCTCAAAGCTTCACACTCACCCAAAACTGGGAGATGGAGGATGGCTCCTTTCCTCCTGCACCCAGGGTGTCCATAGTCACCTGGGCTCTTTGCAGAGGGGGAGATGGGCTGGGTGCACTGGGGCTGCCAGGTATGGGACCAGCAGAGGTTGAGAAGGGAGTTACAAGATGAAGCCAATCTCCTACAACTGACAAAGCCCAAGAGGGCTAGGGTCTTTAAGGGCAGACAGGTTCCCTGGTTGCATGAGCCATTTCTGTCTGCACAGCAGTGACATCCCTCTCCATGCTCTCTGCTGGCTCCCTCATTATAATGCACAGGCTAACGAGGCTGCAAGAGATGAGCTGGTTTGCAGTGTGCTTTACATCAGAACCTGCATGCTTGCTAGCCCATGTGTGGACTGCTGCATGTCCACGGTATACATGTAATATACCACAGACATCCCCCCACAGTGAGGCCATGGCTCAGGAATTCCTTCAGGACCAGGGCTGGGAGAGGTGTTGCAGTGCTCAGATCTCCCTCCAGCCCCTGCAGGATCCCCCTGGCACGGAGCACCCCCCCCTTCCCTCATCAAGTCAGAGCTGAGCGAAGCCTGTGAACTGTGTGTTGGAGCTCTCAGAGCCACACAATCTTCTCCCCCATCACCACCATGTCATGCATCAGCCTCGAGCTGAGCTCTGCCACTGGTTCAGTTTCCCCTTCGTTAGCAAGATCCTGCCCCCTGAGCACTCTGAAACCTACTGATGGACAGGGTTGACACATGAGAATTTGTACTAGCGACTGCCTGCCCCACAAGCCCTAAACCACTGCAGGGTGCAGCTCCAGGGGACAAGAAGCCAGTGAGCACAGGCTGTAGGGTGTCAAATGCTTTACTAACCAGGGAGAATGACCTCTCCTCCTCCCTCTTCCCCATGTCACCTGCCCAGCACCGAGCATCCACAACCAGGTTGGAGTAGAAACTCCAAGGTTTCCTCCTTCCATAGCATTTACCTGCATCACAAACTTGTTTTCTTTCCAGAGCTGCAGTGGAGCCTGCTCTCTGATGGTCTTTTTGACAGAGCATGGCAGGCAGTAGGAGTCAGCATAAGTGCTGACAGAGGTCTTGTGTTTTGGGGCAAAGAGGAATGTGGTGCAGCAGCCCACTGGGATGGGGGCGCTTAGAGTCCTGGAGGATCCTGGGGTGCCCCACTGGATCAGCAGCACTGCATGGAGCTAAAGGCTCCCAGCCCACTTAGGAAAGGGAATGGGGCCCTGGTACCACTGCTCTGCCAGGCTGGGGTGGTGCTTATGCCATTGGTGATGTCGTAGTGTGAGACCAGGGCGATTTGGTGGCTGTCAGTCCTGTGGCTGCATTCCCAAGAATAGCAGGCCCTGGGTTAGGGTGCAACAATTTCTGCCTGATCACTCCATGAGCACAACTGCACCCTCCTGACTTTGTCCTGGCTCTGGGCTTTCTCCCCTCCTGCAGGCAATTATCTTAACAATGGTAGGAAACAGTTTCAAGATAATTTTATTTTGGGAGGTGCAAAACAATCAATTGTTTTTCCAGCCCCTCTGTCCTATATTTCCTTGGAAATCCTGCAGCAACCCAGATGTGTGCACACAGCACAGCCCTGCACCTGTGCAGCCAGTGCCCAGGGCACAGCATCAAGCACTGCTGGCCTGGCCTGCTGGGGTAGCCAGGGGAATTACTGCCTGTTCTATCTGCCCTTTTTCATTAAAAAGCTGGATTTAGGTGACCCTGTGTGGCTTGTTTGCTCTCCTGTCCCGAGTGCTGTGATGGGCTCTGCAGCTGGAGTGAGCAATCCTCATCTATCTCAGTACAGAGGTAGCCGGGTTATGCCAGGGAGGGATTTGCATGAACCAGGTTTGCTTTTCTCTGAGATGGGGAGCCAAGCAGAAATGCTGTTCTGGCTTGTCTTGTCACACAGTACCAACTCAGAGCCCTGCTCTGCTCCCAGCTCCAGCCTTGTGAGGGGTCTTAGAAGTCCAACCCTTCTGCTGTCACAATTTTGGGGATGACCGGTGAAGACCCAAGTCTATCTTGGCAGGGTGGATGCCAACCCATCCCCCTGAAGGGTTGCCTAGCCCTGCTCTTTTGTTGCAAGGAATGGTGGGGCTGGGCATCCAGGCAAACATGATTAATGTGACATTGAAAGGAAGAAAACAAGTTGCTTTTGATTTTCACACCTTGCTGGTCTCTGTTGAGCCAGGCTCAGGCTCTCCATCAGTCTTGTCCTCTCCTGGGAGCCAGTGGGAGGCTGAGTCGGAAGGGTGGACACAGGGGTGTCAGTGATGCCTCCCCCTCCCCACCCCCATGGCCTTAAAAGTCTCTTCCAACCTTGATGAGTCTATGATTCCATGAGCCAGTGGCTCCCTATGGCTATCCCCTGTCCCCAGCAGTCCCTGGATTTTCCAGCTGCTGATGTTGGACTCTAAAATCAGTGCTCGGCTCTTGTGTCAACAGCTTTAAGGAGCAGAAATGGCTGAAAGGCTGGAGAAAAGGTTATTTCACCCATTGATGTTGTATAGATGCAGCACCTCCTTCTATTTCTGTCACTGTCAGGGGTTGGGTCCTTCTGCCTTGAGGAGAAGACTTTCCAAATGTTGACTGGAGGCTGGCTGCCCCTGGGAGGTTTATCTGTGCCATACAGCACAGCTCCACACCAGCTGCTTCTACTAGGCCCAAACAACTGGTATTAGCCATGGCATGAAGGCTAGTACCCCCTGATTTCAGTTTCTGCAATTGCTGGGGACTCAGAGGAGATAGTGTGATTCATACCCTCTCACCACAGTTTGCTCCAATGACAGTCTGGCAGGCTGGTTTTCATATGTATGCTTTTTAATATTAATTCTGTTATACTACACACAACCAGTAACAATGATAAATACTGCAATGGAAGTGTTAAAAAAATTATACGTTTCATGTTTTTGAAAACCCTCACTGTTTAAAATAAATTAATGCATAACACTGATGATAGAAAAAAGAAAACCCAAACCAAACCACAACACAATTGATCTGTTTAAGGCAATACTCTACGTGGATGGGAACAGAAGTACAACAGTGTGCTACATGTTCTGAACAGGAAAAAAGAAAGAAATGCCCCCCTGCCCCATATAAGATGCAGATTGATGTTTCAATAGAGAAAAAGCTCCCAAACCTAGATAATAAAACCAATGGCCAAGGTAAGTACAGCATTAATACACTCTGCATGTCAAATGATTAACAGGTTCCTAACACGAATTAAGGTCAAGCTACAACAAATTTATCTTCCTAATTAAAAGGTTATTCAGGTCAAAGCCTACATTTAACTGTACTTTGCATTTGGCTGATTCAGCTATGTTTCACTATATGCAAAAGGACAGCTGGAAATCAGTCTCCTGCTCTGAGATTAATGCAAAGGTTGTGAGGTCTCCTCTCCTCCTGAAAGATATTTCCATTAAATACATCCAAAAAGGATCTTGCTTTTGATGACCGCCAAATGCCTTCTACCATCCCCTTCCCTGGGGCACCAGATGGGGAAAGGAGACCTGGGAAGCATTTGGGTTGAGTTTTTTCCAAGCTGAGGACATGAAATGCAAGTGCAGATTTGATCTGAACTCTGAGGAGTGCTATTTCCCTGTCTTCCAGAAATGGCTATCTGGAGCCTTCTGAAAGCACTTTGCCAGCATGGGAGAAACCCAGCCTGAATCCAAGCTCTGGATATAGACATGGTGTTTGCTATTAAGGTTGCTGTGAAGCTCCATACCTGTCTGGACATCCAATTAACCCCAGTTATTAATGCAGCCCAGAACTTGTCCACTGGAAGGTGGACAATAATCATAATATCAAAAAATCCCCCTCTCCCTCAAAAAAGAAAAGAAGACAGTAGCTACTTCCTTCCAGTTTCTCCCAATGGATCCCCATCAACTGTCACCTACCCAAGACTGGCAACACCAGATGTCACCAGCATTGACCCAGTACATTCCCAGTAAGGTTAATGTCTATAAGGTGCTGCCAGGGGGCAAAGAAGCTACTTGGGACATGACTGGAGCCTCCTGTACTTCCTTGATAGAGTGCGTGGGGGGAAGCCATGGTACATAAACCCAAGCAGAGTTACTAAAAATTTAGACTTGTGATGGCCAACAACTGTTCAGGCTGCCTTGGGTTTGGGTGGGAGAGGGGAATGCAGAACTGGGCTAAGAGTCCCTTTTGGTGCAACTACCTCTGATGCTATGATGCTAGTGCATGAGGGAGGGGGAAGATGACAGCTGCTTTGAGAAAAGAGGAGTGGCAGGAGGATGTATGCAATATAACAAGGCTTGTGATTCCAGAACTAGCCACTGGACATGGATACCAAAGTTTACCTGTGACAACTAGCTATCCTTCCATTGCCTTAAGAGACTGCAGAAAACAGGACTCTGAGCCAACTTAGTGTATAAGATAAGATAAAGAGGGTAGGTCCTTTAATTCCAGGCCTGAGGCCTACAGGAAGACACATGATGCACCTCTTGTCCAGGGGGTTTCACAATTTAGGGTGATAACCCATCCAATCCCAGATCTATCCACCCCTCAGCACCTCCCCCTGGCACGTCCCTCTGGAAATTGAGGCAGGGGGCTCTGGGACCCCCTCTTCTTCATCCTCCTCCTCGTCACAGCACATCCAGTCCTTGGAGCTTCTCCAAAGTTCTGGGCTTGAAGGTTGCTGTGCCTGTGTGGTATCTTGTTGTCCAGGCCAGGGTGCAGATGTTCTTAAACAGAATGAAGGTCTACCTTGAGGGAAGTCTAAACAAGCTAACGGAATTTTGAGGGAGTGATATGGAATGGGTAACAGTGTTGGGAAAATGTGTAAACTACTGTGCTAAAGGGTGAGGGATATAATACAGCTACTTCTAAAATCTACAAAAAGCTAAAAATCCAAAAATCCATAGGCATCACTTCTATTGTCACTGCTTCTTTTCCCCCCTTCCTGGTCTGATTCTTCTTCAGTTTGGAAAGCTGTGGCTGTTTGATATGATGGTCAGCACTGATTCTCCCATCCCAGTTTCCACAACACACATGGTGACTCAACTACAGGATGTACACTGAGGTCTGGAAGTTGCATCTTAGGCACAGACCAACTGCATGCAAGTGGTGCCTGCTTTCAGAACCCTTCAGAAAGGTATTTAATGTTGACTTGTTTCCTTCTTTATTAAACTGAAGGTTCAATAATCCCTATAAAAGGAGTAAAAATGGGCAAAAATGGGGAGAAAAATTTTTTTCCTGAATTTTCTTCCCTGCAAAAACTTCATCCTTCATCTTTATCCCCGCACAACTACAGCCCTACCAGTGCATCTCACAGCACTCTACCCCAGCACGGCAAGGACACAGCTGACTGACTTCCCAACTGTGCCTCTGCTGTGGGTTTCCAGTCTATTTGCACACAGGCTGACAGGCCTGGGACCTGTGCTTGGCTCCCAGATCTCCCACAGTGCTGAGCCTGGGAGGATAAAGGCAGATGGCTCAGCTTGCTGGATCACACCAAGGTTTTACACTAGCCTGGCTAACCCTCAGCCCCACTGCCTTCAGGTGGGTGAAGAGAAATCCCAGTCTGTTCTCTGTCTCACCCACTAACCAGAAGGGCTGTTGTGAAGATAGCTTGTCCAAGTTTTCCAGCTCTCTTTGTGGGTCTATATTACATCTCCCAAAAAGCTTCACATCTCCCAAATTATGTGGGCTTGAGGAAGGTGGAGTTGCAGCTCTTTTGGGACCAGTGCAGAAGGGAGAACACAGCCCAGGTAGAGAGCAGTTCTTCCCAGTGAGCTCATCTGGGGCAGTTGGATGGGCAACTATGGGAGAAATGTTGCTCTGGGAGGACAAACATCTAGGCAGATAATAGCACTTTTCTCAGCATGGCCTTTTGGTGGCCTTTTCCTGGTGCCTACTGTGCTGGTTTCCAGCAATGCATCTGAGAAAGTCACATTTTAATGAGACTTCTTTTGCACCTTCCACTCCTTAATGCAATCCTACCACCTGTATCACCATTTTTTACTTAGAATGACTTCATAGTCCAGGCACAACCAATGAGATAGGTTCCTTCCAGGAGCAAATCCATCTTTTGCTGGAGCAGCTTTTTACAGAAAGAGAAAGGCTTGGAGTCACCCCCAGTTTCTGCTGGCAACTGGGTCTGGGAAGCAATGGGAAGAGCTGGTCTCTGCAGGCACCAGGGAAAAATGTAACTTGTCCTGCTGGTGCCCATGTTGCTCTGCAACACTCAGATGGAGTGCAACTGGGATAGTGAGTGCTGATGGGAGGGAAGAGAGCATTGAAGGGCTCCTTTGGGATATTCCCACAGCAGTTTCATGCTCTTACTTTTAGCATCCATGTAATGATTTGAGGGTAAAAACTAGCACTTTTTCCTGGGCTTTTCTTTTACTTTACCATTCTCCCTTAAAGCTCATATAGGGTATGGCCACTCTTACCTAGGATGAAGCAGGCTTTGTCACCTGGCTGCTGCTTGGCTCAGCAAGCACAGGCTGCGTATGCCAATGTAAATATACCCTGGTTTTGACCTCTACCACCCTTCAGAGCTGACTCTTCGCATGACCCTCCTATTTCTACTTCTCATGTCTCAAAAAGAACCATCTGCATAGATGGGCAGTGCCACAGAGCAAGCTTGGTTAGGTTGAGCCTAAGGGGAAGGCATGGGAAAGTGTTCATTTTAAGGTGCTTTTCACCTCTAGGAGAACATGGCATCCTTGTCACTTCCTTTCAAGGCTTTCCTGTGTGAGGGATTGTTCCAGATCTTGAACCACATCTCATCAGACAAACCCACATCTGTTACAGAGCCACTCAAACCTTGAAGCAAGGGCCAGCAACTCAGCATAGAGGAAAAGGTTGTGACTTGGGATTACCTACAGAAGAGTAATGCCAGACTAACCAGGTGCAGGTTTCTCACAGGGGCTGGCATCTGTATTTTAAGTCCTTGTTGCATTCCTAAGTTCCTTAACTTCATTAGCAGGGGATGGTGCTGTTGTGCCACCAAATCTTCTCACACATTCTCTGTGGCATCATGCAGACTGAGAAGTCAGTTGTGCAAGAGCCAGCTGCCAAATGTGTGCGAAACACATCCTTGCCAAACATCTGCCCCCAAAGTTGTTTAATCTCTTTATTAATCTCCACTCTGCAGCCTTCTGGAACATGTAAGCAACATCAGAAGATGGTAAAGAGAGGGAAAGCAGAGTTGTGCTGCTTTTCTTTGTAGTACTTTGAAAATACATGCAAAACTTCTAATAGTATGCTTTTTGCATCTTGCATGCAGAGCTATCCTATCACAATGGTGTCCGCCACACACTTGGCAACATCCATGCAGGGTGGTGGTAGCATCTTGAGAAGGCAACTTTCTGCCCTGTGCTGCAGAAGGGAATGGATATCAAGAGGGGATATGACTTGCCTGAGGTTAGAGCAAACGTAGTATGTGCCAACAGCAGCAAGGGACCCCAGATTTCATTTCTGTGCTGTAACAGTTCAACAGACTCTCAGCAGTAGCATTTGGCTGCAGTGCCAGATCAGGAACACGGTGTTTCTGGTGTGTACATCTGAAAGTGAGCTTTGCTCCCTGATGGTATCAGCACTGTACTGAAATAGATTAACTTGGACAACTGGGATCTGCCCTAGGCCAAGACAGCACTTGGCAACCTTTCTAGTTACTGCTTGTTTTTCTTTTCCTGTCATTCCATCTGGTGCTAAACTGAGTCCTTCCTTTCTTCAAAAGCATCTTCATGTTTCTGTTGAGTCACATACAGGGCACTGTGCTTTTCAAGCCTCCTGCATGCCATTGTACAGTTTGCAGTCCAACCTAAGGACAGACTCTGCATGGAGAGGAAAGGATTCTGCTCAGGATTGCAGACCAATGTGTCAACCAGCATATAGCTGAGCAGAGCAGGTGCCTCCTTTTGAGAAAGAAGCCAGAGAGCCAAACCAGAAGCAGTTGAGTCCATTCTGTCTGTGGGGGAGCAGAGCATCCCGAAGTCCCTTTTGAAATCCACGCAGCAGGCTTGGCTGTCTGCTTTTGCAGTTGCAAGGCATTTGCAGGCAAGACAGCCAGAAAAGAACAGCAAGACCAATGGCCAAGCATACATGTTGGGGATAGACATGCAGAAATGTCAGATATGATCCAGTGGCTCTTCTTGGCTTCAAGATATGTTTGGTAAGACATTAAATGAACCTTTAGGGATGGTCACCTGGACATCAGCTTTCTTTCAGCCAAAAGTTATAAAACAGACTAGACCATTCTATCTAGTGACCTTCTTCAACACTAGGAGGATATTCCCCCTCACACTGACGTCTGGAAATAGAGAGTTTGCAGACTGACTGCAGACATAGACTTGAGTGCTGAGACCCTAGAGTCCAAAGTCAGCTCACATTAAAGGGCAAAATTAACATCTGATAAAAGGAAAAGATTTGCTTAAACTTGGGTAATTTGGTGACTAAAATTACATGAAATCCTAACAGAAAGCCAGTCTGGCTTTAGAGGCATCAAACACAAATTCCTTTTGTGGAGGCACCAGCATCAATATAAGGAAGCTATCCTATTTGCATGGTAATTTAGGTGGATAGTGGTACAGCCTTTCATACTCTGTTGTGCTTCTCCCCTTGGCATTCTGTACACTTTGGACTGAAAATGAGGCCTGAGAAGATCATCTGGTTTGGTGCAAAGACTGGAACAAGGAATTATTTGCTTCATTGCAAGTAAACTGCAGTTAGGAGAGTGCCCAGCAGCTCTGCAGATTTTGCGGCTTTATAATAATGTGACAGCCAGGGTCCATGCTCTTTGCTCTTGCCTTCTCTGGGTCATGGCAGCAGAGACTGGTTTAAGAAGAGCAGTGCCAGAATGGCCATGTATCTATACACCTGGGAAGTCACCATAGCATAACCTCCAACGAGAGCACAAGGAAAAACTGGCTGAAACAAAAGTCTCAACGCAAGACCAGTAGGGAGACTCAGCCCAATCTGCAGTTAATACATACCGCCAGACCATCAATCATATTCCATAACAAGCCAACAAACTTGCCCTATGGTCATAACCTGCTTAAGGGACTATGATTCAAAAGGGTTAGTATTCAATTTTCTATGACCGAACCTTGACCCACAAGTTAGTTAAGCTGGGTAAAGTCTGACAGCAGCTTGGGGGGTAGTTCTGTTGAGACTGATGGGACCCCCACAGGTTGGGCTTATGTTGCCTTGCAGGTCAGGGGCAAGTGTGCGCTGCCGCCACGGGGCTCTGTGCTGGTTGCAACCCAGAAGGTGTTGAGCGGGTGGAGACATATACCAATACCAGACCCTAAAGAGGGTGATGGTCTACAGTAGCCTCTTCCTTACTGAATTTGACTCTAAATTTTTACCGAACATGACTTTAACATGGTGGGAATCCTGTTGATGGGATCTCATTCGCATCAGTACTAAGACAGATGGATGGGCCACCTCTAACCCAGAAAAGGGACACATGCGTGCCCATTTTGTATCAGAAATAGCGTGACCAGCAGAACTAGGGAAGTGATTCTTCCCCTGTACTTGGCACTGGTGAGGCCACACCTCAAGTACTATGTCCAGTTCTGGGTCCCTCAATTCAGGAAGGACATTGAGATGCTGGAGCATGTCCAGAGAAGGGCAATGAAGCTGGTGAAGGGTCTGGAGTGCATGTCCTATGAGGAGCAGCTGAGGGAGCTGGGGTTGTTTAGCCTGGAGAAAGGGAGGCTCAGGGGAGACCTTATCACTCTCTACAACTACCTGAAAGGAGGTTGTAACCAGGTGGGGGTCATCCTCTTCTACCAGGCAACAAGCAATAGGACAAGAGGACATAGTCTTAAACTGCACCAGGGGAGGTTTAGGTTGGACATTAGAAAGAATTTCTTCACAGAGAGGGTGATTAGATATTGGAATGGGCTGCCCACGGAGATGGTGGAGTCACCGTCCCTGGAAGTGTTTAAGGAAAGACTGGACGTGGTACTTACTGCCATGGTCTAGTTGACATGGTTGTGTTCAGTCATAGGTTGGACTTGATGATCTCAGAGGTCTTTTCCAACCTAATTGATTCTGTGATTCTGTGCATGTTCAATAAATAGCCACATGTGCATTGCCTTAATCCATTCAGCCTTCCTGATAATGACCCTATACAGGTAACTACTTTTCCCCACCCTTTCTACTTTATTCCCCTAATAAAATATATGAACACAAAGTATAGAGAGGAGAAGCCAAAAAATTGCCATTTTATGGTCCTGTACTGTCATGCCAAACCAGCTATTTGTGCAACCAACTCCTTCTGTGTGCAGTGGAAAACACTTGGCTTGTGCTTTGGTCTGTATTTGGAGGAAGCACTGGGTGTAGTTAACATTTAAGTTCATCTCCCTCTTTCCCAGGGACCCTAAAGTGTTGTTCTGGAAGCAGATGCACATCACACAATGCAAAGGGCTGAGGACAGTTGCAGGGTTGGGGAATGCCTCAGAGCATATGGCAGGCAAAAACCAGCAATAGGGGCAATAAAAGGACTTGGTCATGGTGCCATGGGGCAGTGATTATCCCGGAAGGTCTGTTTTTCAGAGGGGAGGTGTTAGCTGTGGGAGATACAGTCTCAGCAAGCTTCATTCTGTCTTTGACTGAACATGATAGCAGCATGATGGATACCTGTGGGACCTGCAGTCTCCCAAGGCTGATGCATGAAAACAGATGCCTTGTTGCTCTAGCAGGCACACTAAAATGCTCCGATTTCCTGAGCAAGGGCTATGGGAAAGACTGAGCATGTGCAGCCCAGCTGGAAGGCACAGAGGCTGACCCAGAAGGATAAATAAGATTAATGTGTTGCATGGTACCAATTCTGAACTGAAAAGTCCTGCTTTAGAAGAGTGAACATTTAAAGAGACTTAGTTATGTCCTATAGGATTTGGTTTGACCATGGGGTTTATGTTAGGTTTTGATTACATTCTCCACTAAAAAAAAAAGACTCCTTAAGGAATGCTTTTTCCCTTTTATCTTTTCTCCCTACACAGTGCTGTTAGAGGTCTTCCCCCCCCCAAGTTGCTAACCTCACACCTGAGCTAGCACTGGAGAGGAAATCAGGCACACAAACGAAGAAGTGAACACTTGGAGACCTGATGCTTTGTGCTTCTTTAGGGACATTTTGGAAATATTCCCTCTCAGCATTACCAGGCAATGAGAAGGGGAGAGGAATTCAATTGAGAAATACTCTCTTCCTAGAAGAGCTGTCAAGTTAACCAGCACTTCTGCATGAGGAAGCAGGGATGCTCAGTAAATAGCACCGCTCAAGTCCTCTTTCTATGGCCTGGAGCCAGGGTGGCAGTGCCCTGTTTTAGGGAGGAGGGGCAAACACAGCTTTAATGGTTGCCCATGGCCAGCCAGTGAATAAAAAAGCCCAGGAGTCCTGTGTGCCTTGCACTGCACAGAGTGAAGACTCATAATGTTATGTCCTCCTAATCATGAAGAGGACTTGTTAAAGACTCATTTCACTACGTGAAGATTTCAGATGGAGATCTGTCCTCTGGAGTGGAGCTCAGGCTCTGTCTTGCAACTCAGAGGAATTCTGATGGAAAGCTCAGAATTGCCCTTGCTTTCTCCTTTCCCAGGCTCCAAAGCAAGCACTGACGCAAGGCAGGTGGACCTTCCTCCTGGCAGAGCAGGAAAACACACAGTTGTGCCTGTGGCAAAAGATTTAATCTCTGAGAGAAATGCCAGCCCATCTGTCACCCAGCCCTGTGTATGCTGAAGCTAGCAGTGTAAGACCTGCCAGGGACATGACATGTTTCTAATTCCAGAAATAATTTTGCATTCAAAACAATCTGCTGGTGAACTGGCAATTCAGTCCAGCCACCTAATGAAATGCCAAATGAACACAACTGCTCCTGATGTGGGACATCTCCAACACTGACCAAGCCTGATTCACAAGTGGGCAGAGATAGGATAAACAGTAGTTTCCTCTCATGTGTTTTTTTAAGCTGAAGTTGTTCATAATCCTGCTGTTGCTGAGCCCCCCCCCTAAAGTCTGACACCACCACAGAGACACCTTCAGCGTTAACAAATCTCTCCCATGGGCACCAAGAGATGCAGTGTCAAGAGAATATCAACAGCCAAGCTCTGTAAAAATGTGCTTTCTTCAACAAGCTTTTCTGGCACTGACGTTCAGACTGAACAGTTCTAGTTCTGTCTTGTGTCTTAGTTGAACAAACTTTAAGATTTCTGAAAGCAGATGGGTCTCACAAGAATGAAGTATAGGCTGAAATCAGTATACACAACTGGACTGAACTCAGGAGTATGGTATTCTCAGGTAAGTACTAAATCCCTGAAGAGCATGGATAGACTGCAGATTGAATCTGATGTGTTTGGTGATAATTTAATGTGGAGCTAAGGATAGATTGCATTGGATATGTGACACAACAGCTCTAACTAGTACTGACACAGTGAAATGTCACCTATTTGTCCTCTTCACAAGTGAATGAATTGTGTCATGCTAGTCCTGGCTAGCCTTAGCATAAGAAAGGATGCCCTGCTCTGTTTCTATTCCTGTGTCCCAGCTATGGTATAATTATGGTTACGCAAATTAATCAGGTTTAGTGAATCAATTAAGAAATGACCTTCTCCTACAGGTAAAACCCCCTGACACCTCAGACTCACCCCTGATCTTGTAGATGGATTGGTTTCAGTGGGCAGGAGTAACTACAGCTCCATCTGACCCTTCCCATTCTGGAACAGACACCTTACAAAACATCTCCAGTGCCTACACAAACCAAGGAGGCATCTCTGGACCCTCCTGTGTTTGCTCTCCAGACCAGTCAGTTCTGCCAGGCACTGCCTGGCACTTTGAGCAACTTCTCTTTTGTTTAACCATAGTTTAAAATAACTTATGAACCAATCATAAAATTATTTTTTGGTTTCTCCTGGCTCCATGAACACAAAGAGATGCATGTCCTACCATAGGAGGAAGCAATGGCTGTTAAGTTTTACAGTTATAGTGGAAAGCACTGATCAGAGCCTGCCAGCCTCACTACTGGATGTGACAGGTGGTGGAGGACGTGGCTTGGCAACACATGCAAGTAGAGTTGACCGATTTAGGGGGGATTAGGTCGAGGTCCTCGTCATCTGGGATCTCATCTAACCGGTACCCATCCTTTAGCAGCTGGATATTCAAGTCTTGGTTGATCTGCTACAGACAAAGAGACAAACAGTCAAACACTTGAGAGACACTTCTTTCTTCTGATAGTTGAAAGAGGAAAGAAGTCCCTTATTCTGGAATATATTTCCCTATCATTAGCAGCTGTCTCATCAATGAAAGAGTCCCAGTTTGTGATCACAGGTGAGGGCTGCCTCCTATTGTTTAAACTTCTTTCACAATAGGAATATCTAGAGTGAGATATTCCAGAGTAGCAAGTTGATACAGTATTTTATTCTCAAATAATCTTTCCATGAAGATGAGTCCTCATTTAAAGTAATGTAATAATAATGAAAATAAACTGACTGGCAGGTGGCCAGTCCCTCCTTTCAGGCTGGGGCACTATAGCAGTTGAAAGATGGTAAAGATTCTTGTTTTTTTATAATCTCGAATTCAAGTGCTGTCTACCCAGATCTGGATGAACAACACTTCATCAGGGCCCAGAGATGGCCCAGATCATCTGATCTGGTTCCTGCTCTTGGCTGTTTCTCAGCATTTCAAAAGTATTTTGCCCAAGGAAGGGATATGTGGGGGGAAGCCCCACAATTAAAGTTTGAGGTAGTGCAAAAGTGAGGCCATGTTCCATGGGAGCAGTGGAGCTGGTTAGATGGTTTCCATGGACACGGCCTTGGGTTGCAGGGAGTACAAGGTTGAGACGGTTTGATAATGTGCAGGTGCTGGATTCCTGGATGTTGTTGTAGGAATATGTTTGTGTTGTGTGTGAAGTTAGTTAGCTCAATAAAGGCTGCCTGCTGCACTGAGCAGGCAGACATCTCGTCTCACTATCCTTGTGTGTCTTGTGTGTCTTGTGCGTCTT